ACACGGGGGGACAGGGAGGGATACCAGGGATAGGGGGACACGGGGGGACAGGGAGCGACACGGGGGGACAGGGAGAGACAGCGGGGACCGGGACACGGGGGGACAGGGAGGGATACCAGGGATAGGGGGACACGGGGGGACAGGGAGCGACAGCGGGGACCGGGACACGGAGGATACCGGGGGACACGGGGGCACACCGGGACACGGGGGGATACCAGGGATAGGGGTACACGGAAGGACAGGGAGCGACACTGGGAAATGGGGGACATGGGGGAACACGGAGGGACACTGGGAACGGGGACAAGGGGGGACACCGGGGACGGGGGGACACGAGGGAACGGGAGGACACGGGGGGACACCGGGGGATACCAGGGACAGGGGTACACAGGGGGACAGAGACGACACCGGGGAATGGGGGGACACGGGGGGACAGGGAAGGAACACGGGAGACGGGGGGACAGGGCAGGGAGAGGGAGCGACACCGGGGGACGGGGGAACACGGGGAGAGACGGGGGGGACACGGGAGAGACACCGGGGGACGGAGGGAACACGGGGGGAACCGGGAGGGACATGGGAGAGACACGGGGGGACAGGGGAGGGACACGGGGGAGAGATGAGGGGACGGGGGGAAAACACAGGAGGGACAGGGTGGGACACGGGGGGACATGGGGAGGAGAGGGGGGAACACGGGGGTGAACCGGGAGAGACATGGGGGGGACAGGGTGATATGGGAGGGGACATGGGGGGAGGCACGGGAGAAACGGACCCCCATGACACCGACTCGCATCCCGGAGCTTTAAAGAAGGGGAATGACAAAGGAGGGAAGTGTAGTTTTAAAGGGGGGATGACACCGACCCTGCATCCCCTAAAGGGGGAATGGAACCGACCCCACATCCCAGAGCTTTAAAGAAGGGGAATGACACAGAGCCCTGTACCCTGGAGTTTTAAAGGGGGAATAACACTGACCCCACAACCCCTATAGGGGGAATGACACCGACCCCGTGGTTTTAAAGGTTTCAAAGTGTGAAATAACCCCGAGTTCCTCATCCTGGAGCTTTAAAGGGGTAATGACACCAATCCCAGAGTGTTAAAGGGGGTAATGATACAGAGCCCCCCACCCCAGAGTTCTAAAGGGAGGAATGAGCCCCTCAAGATTTGAACAGGGGTTTGAGTCAAACTTAACAACCTGAAGTGCAATCAGGAGCTGGACAAGTTCTGGTTGAGGGATTGCACTGTGAGCATCAGATGCTTGGCTGATCTTTGGTTTTAAGGGTAAGAGAAGACAATCCCAAGGCTCTCTGGATTAGAAACACCAGGAGTGAGCTGAGCAGGGCTGGGCAGTAACTGGGGGAAAAGCAATTCCAGCAGTGGGGACCCACTGACCACCTCCTCAAAACAGACCCCAATGAAGACTCAAATGAAGAACTGCACCTGGGGACTAATTAGCACGAGAAATGAGAGCTGTAACTCGCAAATAGGGGGTTAAGTACTTATTAATAGAAAAGCTGTGTAATGTGTAACCAATGAATGCTTCTGTGTTAGTTAAAATGTACAAATAGTGTAAAGTTTTGATGATCTGGGAGCCTTTTGTGGGAACCACCAGCTCCCTGCTTTGTGCAAAGCAGAATAAAACACTGAAATCCCTCACCTTGGTGTGTGAATTGGTGGCACTGGGAATGAGCCCATGGCTGGGATGACACGGATCTAACATTCCCCACGTGGAAGGAAGAGGCAGAGCAGAGTGAGGCTTTTTTCAAAATCAGTAAAACTTTATTCTATTTCCATTCTTTGCCATTAACAGAAAAAAAATTGGAGAAAGCAATGTTTTGTTTTACAAAGATAATGCATCTCCCAGAGAAGAAAACCCTAAATTGAGAATAGAGGTAACATGAAAAAACAAAACAAAACAAAACAAAAAAAAAAAACCACAGTACTGCCCTCTATTCCAAAAAGTAACTCCTGATCTTTTTGGTTAAAGTAATACTTAGACCAATCATTCAGTTTTCTTGCTTGATAAAAGTGTGACTGGGGAAATGGAGGGAGGGGGCAAGGGGAGGGGAGGGAAAAAAAACCCAAAAAAAGAAAAAAAAAAAAAACCAAAACAAAAAAATAAATCAAAAAAAAAAAAAACCAAAAAAAAAAGCACACAGACATCAACTATTCACCTTGATGAAAGTCTCAATACAGCTATGGAAAGCCTAAGTATTTATTCTCTTACAGTACACTGGGTGCCGGCTGCAAAAAGAACAAAAAAAATGTATTCACTTCAGGCACAACTTCTTTCTTTTTAAATTTAAATCAGTAAAAGAAACTGGGTTTAGAAGCTGCAGTGTTCTAAGCAGCAGCAGATTTGTGCATTGTTTTAAATATATTTAAATTACCACACTGATGGCACACCTCAGCCTTATGAAATTCTGCACTGTCTGTTCCAGAACACCACAAAATCCACCGACCCTGGGAGAGACTTGCACTGAGCTCTAACGACTGGCTAAAAGGAGTCAAGTTAAATGAACTAGGAAAACACTATAACATTTGGCCATCAACTCAAGGTATCTGAATGTTCATCGAGATCTGATATAAACTGAACTTATTCCACCCTCACATGGTCCTCAGAATTTGAGCAGAGTGAGCTGAAGTGAGCCTTCCCCTCCACTCGGGAGGGAATATAATGCAACTGAGCACTAAGGCATAATAAACCTTGGCCAAAAACAAGGGTAAAGCATAATAACTGTAGTGCAGAATTCCACAAGGTCTGCCCGAGCAGAGCTGTCTATGTTTACTCACAGAGGCAATGGAGATTGCAGTTACCAGTTGCGTTAAATGCACCATTCAAAACAAGCTTCTAAAATGTGATACTATAAGGCGCCACCTTAAAGTTCTCCAGAATGCAACTGTGCAGAAATTTAAAATGGTTTCGTAAATTTAATTTTAAACATAACATGAGAAGGTGTTAAAACCGGTGGAATAGCTTCTGAGAATTTGGAGGAAGGGATGAACAGGGAGATATTCAGTACCCTTCGCCAGCCCCACCGCGCGGCCCAACGTCGGCGTGGGGTTGGGATCAGTCTATAACACCAGCCTGGCGGATCTTTCTCTCTGCACCAAATCCCTGCAAGGAAAACAAAGCAAACTTTTAGCTCCAGCATTGTGGAATCATGATCATCTTGACTGGAAAAGATCTTTAAGACCATCAGGTCCAACTGCAAAGGCAGCACCACCACCGGGCTCTGAGGCAAAGCTGATCCGTTCACCAAAGTACAGCATTAGCACGTTTCTAATTAGTCACATTTGTCTTCAGAAATAGGTTCTGTGGGGTGTTCTTTACAGTCCCAGATACTGCACAGATTCCAGACAGTTTGCTCTTCAGATCCCAGACACTTCACTCCTGTTTATCACATGGTGAAAGTCAAGTTTGGGTAAAGGGATTTCACTTACTGCCTCTGAGAAGGGGAGCAGGTTTATAACCAAGATAACCATTGTGGGCTAGAAAACAAGCAGCAGTTGGTGGCTTCTCTAGTGTGTGCTGCTCTGAAACCCCAGCACACATCACTGACACTGGGCACAGCACCCTGGGTGCTAAAAACACAGCAGGTGAGTAGTTCAGCACCAGATGGAAGCAGACACCAGGTATCTGACAGCTCACGCTCTAACAGAGGAAGCACTGCTGTGTAGCATTAAACCTGCATTATATGGGAAAACTGTGGTTTAAACAGGTTTTAAAATGGCTTTTGGTGGTGTCTTTGCAAACACATGCTTCTTCTTCCCAGAACCCCCACGTGTTATCTATGCAGGAATGTCCTGCATAGCCCCTGTGTTATCCAGGAATGTCCTGGGAAGGTGTCCTGAGCCCTTCCTGTGATTGGGTGTTCCTGTAAGCCCCTTGAGACTTCTAATTGGTTACTCTGTGAATCCTCCTAAACCCTATAAATGTAACATCCCCAACAATAAACACTCTTGCCTCCTCTCCACGCCCAGTGTCCTGTGTCCTGTCTCCCTGCCAGCCATGGGGCCACGTGCAGGGGGGGGAGGGAGGAGCACCTCTCCCCTCCAGGCTCAGGGCCTGAAAAAACCCCTGGGAAACCCCTGGAGTTTCCCCTTCCCCATCCCTCAAAGCGTGGCAATGGTTCTTCAGATGGAGACGGAACTAGAACTGGGCAAGGGATCCAGAACTGGCGGGCTGCTACCGGCCTCACACCGTCCACGGGCACCTCTGAACGGTTTCACTGCTGTGCTCCCCAAAGCAAGGCAGACCCTGCAGTGACCCTGGCAGTCTGTACCTTTGAGTTATCTGGCCCCCGGGGCTGGCGGAGCACTGTGAGACGTGGGGCGTTGGCATCATCCAGGTTGATGCTCTTTAAACGGTTCACGAGTCTATCGGGACGCGGAGCAGCAACAGCCTTGGCGCCTTCGCTGTAACACAGGCACACACAGGGCACGGGTGACTTCCCACAGCTGCTGCCAGAGGCCTCGTTCATTCCCAGCCCTTTATTACAGTACTTTATAGCAGTTTAGATTGTCCCCACGAAGCACTGGTGCAATTTATCCTGTGTGACAGCACACCTGGCTGACATCGGGACTCTGCCCCAAAGCTTTACCTTCCACACAGGACTCTGAAACAGCAGCAGCTCAGTGTTCTCCAAAAGCTGTTCTTTAGTGACCTGAGCTGTTGCATTTACTCTCACACCTATGTAAGTAGTATTTCCTACATTTCTGTTGCCCAGAGAAGCTGTGGCTGCCCCATCCCTGGAAGTGCCCAAGGACAGGCTGGACAGGGCTTGGACCAACCTGTGCCAGTGGAAGGTGTCCCTGCCCATGGTTGGGGGTG